CGGCGAGCGCCAATGGCGTCGCGGCGTCGCGGCGTCGCGGCGCGCCGCACGACCTCCGAGCCAGTCAGCGTCGCGGCAAGTCGCGGTGTGGCGTGGCGCGGCGTGGCGGTTTTATGGGGGAGGAAACACGTGGGTAAAAAGGAAAATGATTTTCAATAGAAACGTGGCGCCTCAGTAGCAGACTGTTAGACAAACAACAGCACCAAGTCACTCTCAAAATATTTTGCAGTCTCCATAGTAATTTTTATTTTCAAACTCACTTGTTTAGTTTGCAAAGTATTTGGAACAGCAGTAAATCAATTGCATTGAATCAGGTTACGATTTGTGTAGCCCTCTTCTGTTCCGTAGTTGAGAGCAACTTCTTCTGTACTGGACAAAAACGCTTGATTTAAGTGTACCATATAAACTTGGACCCAAGCGCAATATACGCTTCATTCAAGTACCAAATCGTACCAAATGCACTTCATTTTGTACTTAAATGAAGCGTTTCTGTCTCCCTATCAGAGAAATTGCTCTCAAATCAAGTCCACTATACTCTTCATTTTATAAAGAAAATTTTGCTCTTGAACCAGCTTTTTGCAAGAATACGGCTTTCTGAGTGGACAGGACTGGTAGAAAGTACCTTTCCTGTGAAGGGACGGAGTTAAAATAAAAATTCTCGCCAGAGTTGCCCGTTTGTTAATGAAAGGAAGTTTAAAATGAAGAACGAGTAACAAGTCGGCGTGGAAAAAATCCTACGCGGAAAGATAATCAAGAGGAATTGGAGAAAGATGCATATGAATGTTGCTGATAGGTATAGAGAGTGACAATGCGCCTGGGGTACGCACAAGAGGTGGGGGGGGGGGGGAGCCAAGAGTATCGAATGTCGAAGGGGTCATCCCGGCCGGAGCCGACCTAATATCTACAGTAACCCGACGCCGAGCCCACGAGCCAGCCACGCTCCGTGCGGTCTGAGCCGGACAGGGACCGACCCACCCGCAGCAAGGGGAGGGGAGGGAGGGGTCACTCATTCCAAAGGTAAACACGCCTTAATCGCGAGCTAATCGCGTGGGACAAATCAAATCACTTATTATTTCGACCAGAGGGCTCCGCTCGGCTCCAGGCTCCGCGGCATTCGCGACTTGCGGCGTGCGGGGGAGTCGGTGTCGCTTTTATTACAATATATATATTTCCCGCCGTGCCGCAGAAAGTAGAAAGCAAATCGACGCTGCAGGGTGGGCCTTCAGCCGGGCCTTCTTCACCCAGTCCTTCAGCCAGGCCTTAGTCAGCCGGACCTTCAGCCAGGCCTTATTCAGCCGGGCCTTCAGCAGGGCCTTCAGCCAGGCCTTATCCCTTATACACCTGGGCCTTCAGTCGGGCCTTCAGCCGGGCCTTCAGCCGAGCCTTCAGCCAGGCCTTATTCAGGCGGGCTTTCAGCCGCGAGCTGCTGCTTTCACTTTGCACCGCGCGGCTCCCCGCTAGAGGGGGAGGGCGCCGGGGAGTCGGCGCACTGTAAGACTTCGCAAGCAATAATGTGTTCTTTTGTGCGTGCGTGCGAGTCTGTCTGCGGTGCGCCGCGCTAGAGCCGCGACCCCACTGCGCCCCTTCGGCGTGCGCGCGCACCATTGAGTCCCTATTTCTGCTCGACAGCGCTTCTACGGCTGCCGGGAGGACCTCGGGGAGGACCTCGGGGAGGACGTCGGGGAGCACGGCGTCCGCGCGCGGCGGGCGCCCCTGCAGGCGGCCGGCCCCGGGCCGCGGGCTCGCCCTGGGACCCCGCGCACCATGGCTCCGCGGCCGCCGCGCCGCCACCTGAGGCGCCGGGCCGAGCGCGGTAAACGAGCCAAGTCATCGTCACCATGAGGCTGCCCTCGTCTCCCGAGGACGGCGCCTCTGTCGGGTACGACGCCTGGCGTCCCGGCGGCGGCCCCGGAGGCGGCCCCGGCCTTGGCGCGCTGGGCGCGCTGGCGGACCGCGCGCCCGACCCCATCATGGATACCTGCTACATGCCCAACAACCCGGCGCACTATGGGCTGGAGATGTTCGCGGGGGAGGGCGAGTGCCCGCCCGAGTGCGCGGGCGAGGCGGTGACGGGCGTGGCCGGAGGCGGCGCTCCGGGGGCGGGGGCCGTGAGCCCCGGGCCGGAGGCGGGGGGCGGCGAGGGCGGCGGAGGTGGGCCGGGGCTGGGCCCGCTGGCTCCGCTCGGCCCGCTCCACACCGTGCTCTCGGCTGGAGGCGGCCCGCCATCCCCCGCCAGTGCCTACGGCGTCTCCCTGGGCCTGGCCGCGCCCCTCTCGCCGCAGGACCCGTCCGCGCCGGGGCTGTCGCTGCATGGCTGCCTCAGCACGCAGGGGGTAAGTGACGAGAGACTGCATCCAGAAAATCGACACCTTGAACCAAAGCAATATCGTTAGAAAGGAGTACAAGGCAAATTTTAGCCGTGATTTAAGGGATTCTCATTGTAGTCCTGGTCAAAACGTTGAATTAACGTAGATTTTGTTATTAATCCAAAGTTTTGCCTTCCACTTGACAAAAATTTCATGTATTTTATTAAAGGATAATTCCTAGATTTAATGTATTTGGCCTTGTTTCAAAACAAAGATTTTCTGGGTGGCTCGCGGCTCGTGGCCGAGGGAATTAATGCCCTCTTTTCGATTTGAAATTTTGGCGGTAAAAGTAATTGCTTGGTTTTACAAGATAGGAGTGGTATTTTCCAAGCACATTTTGCTTTGGAAACTAAACTACCACTTACTGTTAACCAAGCAGTCACTTTTAACGTGTTCTTTAAATTAGTTTAACTTTATCACACGAACAGAAGTGCATCCAAGTCAAATTTCACGGGCGGTAAGGGTCGGGGGATCGAAAACCGGAAGAATCTTGTAATCGTGTAAATGTGATAGCGTATCACATGGCGAATCGGTAACAGTTAGAGTCACATTTCTTTCCCGAATAGAGCGATGTATGTCGCTCTGATCGATCGATGTTCACACAAACGACTTAAAATGTGTCTTATTTATAACCGAAAACGTCGCGAAAACAACCCTCAACTAGCGATCTAAATTCAATTCGCTCACTTAAAACTAATGAAATTGAATCAAAAACATTAATTAATGTTACTTAATGTTTAGTGTAGGCGTTAGGGTATCATGTGCTAAAATGTCGCTTTCTCAGGGGTGACTCTTTGACTTGCAATGGAGTGCGTGGTGCGTGGTCGCTCCGAGCCGAGGTAGCGGCGAGCGCTCGGCGCCCGGCGAGCTGCGGCTGCAGCGCGGTGAACAGCTCCGCCCGCCGGGCTGCCTATCGCCCGCTGCTAGGCGCCTGGAGCGGCCAGCCTACACAGGCAAATGAGACTCAAGTTTTTCTAATCGTTCATTTTCAGCCCGCGGGCGGAGTAGGTGGCTATTGGCCCGATGATATGATGGCTAGCTTCTCCCTTCCTCCCTTGGACCTAGAGCCACTCCCTGGCATCTTCCCCTTCAGCCCGTGCCCGGCACCCACCTTCAAGTAAGTCCTGTCATTTAATGTTACGTCTTCTGAAAACTCAACAGTGTACATTGTATGCTGATATATCGGCAATCATTGATGATCACTAATATATCCGTGTAAGCTGTAAGACTGATATATGAGCAATCATCAATGATCACGTTTAGGTTTTTGGCTAATTTTCCCTTTCAGGTGAAGAACATTCCAGATTTCACGTGAAAGGAGCATTCAAACGAGCGACTATGTTATTGGGTTCAAATTAACCACTTAACTGAAACTTAGTTAACTTACTGACATTTTCGAAAGGCGGCCCATTTCGGTAGTGAACCCTATCACTTAGTACCCAGTCAACAAAACATAGTCCCGAACACATCCCTGGTACAACCCGGGTGGGATGTGGGACGTCCTGGCTGGGACGTCCCACAGTACTACAGAATGCAACATTTTTTAGACCCTGAGCAGAAGATAAGCACCTCCCAGCAGTACGTCCTGAGTGGGAGGTGATTGTCACATCCCGGAAGGAACGTCCTCAGGATGAACTTTCAGGACCTGACCATCATTTTATTTAAAACAATATGGCACTATTCAAAAGTGAAGTGAGGTGCGACGAGTTTCTTATTTGAAACTGAATTTTAATTATCCAGAAGCAGGTCCCGGAGAACTCGGTCAAAGTTGTCGGAGTTTACAAAATTTATTTATGGCAGTCATGTGATGTGTCACTTGACCACAATTATACCTCACACTTGGCGAGGGGTCTATAAGAGTGGTATACGGATGATCCGCGAGATTTAAATTAGACATCACATAAAATCCTAAATTGTGCATGCAAGTGAACATTGGTAGTGCGATTCGGCTTCATGCCCCTTGATTTACACGCGAATAACGTAACTTTTCAAAATACTTATTATTTCGTTCATTTTAACGCAAAAATGATAAAACCTTCGAGGATCGCGTCGCTAGCGCTATCTGTCGGCAAAATATAGCACGGCACACGGCTGCCACTGGCACTGACATACCAAAGACCTCCCGCAACAGATGTATACAGGATGTTCATCATCCTGCTAGTCTCCCTAACCATGACATCCCGAGCAGGTTCTATGTAGTACGTCCTGGTGACATTCATACTGGCACATCCCTAGCAGATGCATACGTAACGTCTTTTCCAAAGACATGCTGGCCAGCACCCTGACCAGTGGCGCCCATCGTAGGGTTACGGTGGTGACGAGTCACCACCGTCTATCAGCTAAGGTAGGTAGGAAGGGCAAGTAGAAGGTAGGTGAGGGAGGGGAAGGAAGAGAAAGGGAAAAGAGAAAAGAGAAAGGGAAAGAGAGGAAAGGAAAAGAGAGAAGAGAAGGAAAGAAAATAAGAGGAAAGGGGGGTATTCATAATGGTAATAAGAACAGTCCGGCTCCGGCCCCGGGCCCCGCGGCTCGGGGCTCGGAGCTGTGGCCCAGCCGAATCAAACAGCACCAACACTCCTGAGTGCATTTCCCTTTAGCTGGTTCAACAACTTGGCTTGCCACAAAGCATCGCATATTTATTGGCATGCAACTCGCAATTATTTGAACGAAGTTTTCCTCTTACTTTTACCATTTTGAAGTTAAACTTTTGTGTCGAGTTCAGGACGCCTCCTGGTATAAAATTTTTCGCTCGCTTCGCTCGCGATTCTTTTCCAATTTCATGGCACTTGGAGCTATGTTTTTCCCGATCAGTCCGCTCGCTCGTGACCTTACGGCTGGTTGCTCTTTGCTACGGAGTCTAATTTTAATCACCCTTTGTTGCCTATTATTTAAATAAATAACTTTATGCACACAATACTTATCTTAAATTTTACCAAAGCAAGGAACACGAAACACAAAATTTTCGCTCGCTTCGCTTGCAGATTCCTCTTACGTTGGCTCGTGCCGCATAAATTAATGTATTCGGTACTCGCTGTCAGTTAGTAGTTATTTTGAAAATTTGGTAAATTTCATTAGCTGCTTCAATCTAGCCATACCCTCAATCAGGGAAACTAGGGAATAAGTTGGCGTTTAATCAACAAAAAAAAATGAGCCCCTAAAAGTAGGCAACTCTAGTGTTGCACGTCCAAAATTGGCCGTAAAGGTAGGTAGGTACGCCTTAAAGGTAGGTAGCAGTCCCCTCAGTCCCCTCAGTCACCACCGTCTCCAGATACGATGGGCGCCACTGACCCTGACTGAACGCCCCGAGGAGCAGCCCGACGGGTGCCCCTGAGGAGGTACTCGTATGTTACGTCCTGCCCGATGACATGCTGAGGAGCTCCTCGGCGGGACACCCCAAGGAGCTTTACCGCAGGTATATCCTGAGGAGTAACTTCTCAGAACCATAACACAGAAGTACCTCCCAGTCAGATCCCGGCCAAGATGTACATGTGGTCGTGCTCCACAACACATCCTGATTTGCTCCAAGGCATGTATTTTTGGGATGTCCCAGTAGCACGTGTGAGGGATTCGTGTGGGATGATCCCAAACTCCTCCCAAAAGTAAGTGGGAGCTGCTTTGTTGACTGGGTAGCTCGTATGAAAACTCTTTTTACAATGAATCTGGAAATGCTAACCCTACTCTACCATAGTCATTGATGATAACTGATATATCAGTGTACATACCATGACACTGATTTGTCAGTAACCAATGATTGCTGATATATTAGCATACAATGTAACTGTTGAGTTTTTAGAGTCCACATTACGGACACACTAAATTGTTGTGAACTTGTTTTGTACCGGGTGAGTCAGAGAAGACGCAGGTGCGGGCGGGTTTGCCTACCCGCTCTGCCCGTAAGGCGCCATAGCCCCTTGGGTAGGCAAACCCACCCGCACCTGCGTCTTCTCAGAATCACCCGGTACGTAGCTTGGGTATTTCTGTAAACCTACGCTTTTAAGTACTATTTTATACGCAATTAATGAACAATATGAACATATTTTCAGTTATGAACAAATTTGTCCACAAATGCGTGTACAATAATACTCAATAGCGCAGGTTTACAGATATACATAAGTTCTTAAGAATGTAGTATGGGGTCTGCCGCGAAGATGAGGTCAAAGTAATTGTATCCTTCTCTCGTCCAGATCCGAGTACGGCGCGCTGAAGGAGCACAAGCAGGTGGGCGCCAGCGTGCCCGACGTCACGGACGTGCTGCTGCAGCTGAAGCATGCCGTGGTGCACCCCGGCCAGCTGTCGCCGTCCAGCTCCTTCTACCCGAGCAGCCCGTACAACGCCGTGCCCTACTCGTCCTCCTACTCCACGCCCTACACCTCCTCCTACAGCGCCCCGTACGCGCCCACGGCCTTGCAGCAGTCTTCGTATTCGGGCCCCTCGGCAAGCCTGTCCTACACCGTCCACCCCCAGGTAGGTGTACCCCGAGGTGTCCGAGGTTTACCTCCAGGCACCCTTCGAACATTTAAGTACTACTGACTGCACTGCACATACTATTGGACTTCGCAACTTGAAAAAAAATATCTTGCAACAAAAAAGTTGACTGATTTGCCCCACAACTTATAGACCGTGCACGGAAAAAAAAGTTAGTTGCTCTAGCTTAACGGGCTAAATGTTAGCTGCCCGGAGGACAGACAAGAAAATTAGGAACAGTAGCTTATAATTCGTTGCTTGAGCGTATCTGTGACTGTCACAAATAAAGCGTTCCCTGTAGTTGCTCATCTGCATTAGATGTCCGAGCGAACGGTACAAAAATGAATTTCGCATTCGCTCAGACAACTAATAATACAGTTGGGCAACTACAGGGAACGCTTTATCTGCGACAGCCACAGATTAGCTCACGCAACGAATTATAAGCTACTGTTCCTAATTTTCTTGTCTGTCCCCCAGGCAGCTAACATTTAGCCCGCATACCTAATGTTAAGCTGGAGCAACTAACTTTTTTTTCGTGTGCGGGTGGGTCCCACTTATCATTTGGGCCGTAAGGCGCCATGGTCAGTGGTGCCCACCCGCCTGCACACGCAATGATCAAGTAAAGTAGGCAACTGGCGTGCATATGCAAGTGCTCAACACTACTTTGCAAACATTTAAGTGTTTGCCTGGATATTTGAATACTATAAAAAGCGAGGGGTTCCCCACTAGCCAACTCGTTGTACACTTGCCCGAGACCAACTGGGGTCAAACTCGCGAGAATTTGCGAGAACTCGCGAAAATTTGCGAAAACACGTGCTAAATTTGAAAAAGATAGCGCAAAACTTTAAAAAAATTGATCCCAACTCGTGCCTTACTCGCGGTAACTCGTCAACTCGCCAACCCGTTGTACACCCATTTTGAAAGTGGGGGACCCCACGATAAAAAGTGTTAAACAGTAAAGTCAAACACTTAAAAGTGATCAAATTTCCAGTCCAATACCAAAGAGTGTGCACCATAGAGCTGGACACTATAGCCTACCACGTGAATACCAGTTGTGGACTGTGTCAGTTAATCTACTAACCGACCTGCCAAAAATAGTTGGCATAAAACCGCCGGGACACACCTGCGTGCAGTGGGCTGTACTGACGCCTGCCTGGGCGAACCCACTGCAGGCGGAGATACACACCCGTTGCACACGGGTGCGCTCCAGCGGATTTTTGCCTAGCTTGCTGTGCTGGCAACTCTGCTCAATTATAACCTTGCAAAGAAAAAATCCAAATCCGTTGCAATTACGAAGCAATTGCGCTCACATTTCATTTCGGACTCGCTTAGGGAGAATTTTGTACAAAGTTAATATGGATCACAAAGAGAGTAAATGCTTTGTAGTTGCGAAAGCAAATGCTTTGCAATTGCGAAGGATTTAGCATTTTGCTTTGCAAGGTAGCTGTGTGCGTCTATAAAATAAGTGAGCGGGGCGAACCAGCCACCCTGTTTGTACGAGGTAATTCTTCGAAAGTATACAAGCAATTTTTTTTGAAATACAAATAATTACTTCGTTATTTTTGTTGAACTTTCAAATCAATTCTTCGCAATACTCCGCAACATTCGGCAACCATTTAATGCGCAGGAATGTTATTGTGTGGTACACGGAAAAAAAGATTAGCTGCCAGAGCGAATAGATTGGCTAATTTGGTGACAGCTCAGAAGTTCGCTGTGGCACCTAAGAATTAGCAGAGACAAACGTTAGTTGACTCAGCGAACGCGTTTTTTTCGGGATTGCTTTGGCAACTAACGGTTGTCTCTGACAACTAATTCTTAGGTGCCACAGCAAATTTCTTGGCTGTCACCAAATTAGCCAATCTATTCGCTCTGACAGCTAATCTTTTTTTTTTCCGTGCAGTTCCGAACGTTCGTAAACAAAATATATGTTGGAACAGATGATGTCGTCTTCGGCGAGCGGAGGGTACGGCGGCAGCGCGAGCTTCTGCGGCGGCGCCCCGCTGCACCAGATGCACCACCAGATGGAGCCCGGGGTGGGCTCCACGGCGCCCCTCAGCGGCGGCGCCCCGAGCGGCCTGGGCGGCGGGACGGGGGCGTCGTCCTGGCCGCCCGCGCCCACGCACAACGTCTTCCCCAGCATGTCCGTCAACGTGTCCATGAACATGACCATGCACGGCTACCCGCCCAACCGGAACGTCAACATGAACATGGACAACCTCGGGCTCCAGCACCAGGTAAGCGCTGAGCGGCTTCGTCAATACAACGCTGCTCGTGATCCTCCGGGTGATCGAAAGCCAACGGATCAGGGCGCGGGGCCCCCGGGTCGACCCCCTAAGCTCCCCGCAAACATGCCTATTGTAGGCCCCGCTGATTCGAAAGGGTGAAAGGGCCCCCTGCTGTCCACATCGCTACTTTATCCGGGGCCACGGCCGCCGGGCCGGGCGTCCCTCGCTCGGGCACCAGCCCCGCAGGGCCCCGGCAAATATTGATCGCTGGCGGCGGCCATGTTGTCGCAAACAGGGGCAGGGCAGAAAGGGGCGGCACGGGCTGGGGACGGCCGGGGGCGGCCGGGGGCAGGTCGTCATGGAGACGGTGACGTCACCGAGCGTTGAGGCACCCAGGGCCCCGCCTCACTTCACTGGCGGTGGCGTTGAGGTCCCTGCGTCCGCCGACCAATGGCAGCCGCGCGAGGCAGGGCGGGGGCG